ATTTTGTTGCTACCCAGCCAACAACGGTTTATTTTGGAACGGACTCTATTTAAAACTTGAAGGTAGACCTGCAGGTTTTTATGTACTGGGTAGTATATAAAACGAAATAAGCCCCGTTCCCACATCCTGTTTCATGACGAAGCGGCTCTAACTACATTTGAAAATTACCTTCCAAAGCCATTTCTCAGCACCATCAGGAATATGTCATCTGCTGTTTGGCATTTCCCAACATAGAGTTGAAACAGGCTGAACCAATCGAGGGATCAATTAGGGGAAAGGTTGTTTTAAAAATCTCAACTGTGTCTTGGAGAAAAACTAAAGCAAATGGCTCCCTGCAAAGCCTCATTGAACAGCCCATGGAGACACATATTTAAGGGTTTACACACTTCATATTCATATTTTTGGCTTATATGGTTTTATAACTCCAAACAGGCAAGTGAGGTATTTATCGAGTTGGTATACAGTGCGGCGGAAACTATTTTGAACTCCATCGCTGCATTTAAAACTCCGTGGAACATGTCATTCCTGTATTCCAGGCCGGGTTACATCCAGAAGCACATAAATGTGGACACATAGTATACACGCGGTTAAATCTGGCCTCTCGTTCCAGCTGCTGTGTGGTTTTTGTCATGACAACGCGGTGCGATAAACAATGTGTGAAACGCGTGTTACTACTTGTTTTGTGTGTCGTAGCCTACAGGTCACAATTATACAGTAGGAACAGAGGCTTTAGAGGTCTATAGGCTGCTATGGAGCGACTTTAATGTCCCAGAAGACAGAAGCCCTCAGTCATTTCTTCACTCCTAACGTCGAGCCTCTCCCATTTTGGAGTTGCGTCATGCTTTCCACCGGTCCGCCAAACCTCTCCACACAATGATGAGAGAAATGTCATGGCGGCAGCGAACAAGGCCAGAGTTTCAAACCGTGCCACCCAATTCATTGACACACACTCTAAACACAGCCAACGTATGAGAAACTTGGACGTCGGCCTCATTTCAAACGTTGGGAATTCAGCAGCTTTTTTTCACAGTCAGCACTCGACAAATGTGTCTTTATTTTCTTTTCTTTCTTTCTTTTTGGTCTTTTTCTTTATGGAGTTGGGTCAACAAACCCGACCGGGTAGCCTGATGCAGGAGAAAATGCTAATCACGAATGAAGAAGAAAAAAATATGGCATTTATGGAATTTAAACACAGATGGGGTACTTATTATTATTCCACACATTTACATCTGGATTTGTATTTGTGTTTGATTCTGTCCCGCCACACAGAACAATGTACGGCACAGAAACACAGATCCGATCGCTTTCTAACACAAATCCCCTCTGGCTCACTGCTTTTATGGTCGAGAGTCATTTTTTATGACCATTACAGAACGTCCTTTCAAATAAAGCCAGTTTTACGAAGAGGGAAACCCCTAATTTAATGTGATTTTTCTGCTTTTCTGGCTCACAATACTCTCTCTATTTGCTTTGTCATGGCTTTTAACAGTTTAGGAGGAGCTAAAATGGATACACGAACTCTGATCAACTTCACACAAAAGATTTTCTGACATATAAGCTGCCATGTTTTATTTCCTGGCTTTTTATTTATTTTCCTGAAGTTGCGCTCTTCTTAAGGCCTGTCAAAGCTGAGCCGCACTATCAGCCTGGTTGTGTTGAATGCGTATTCCGACACTGAAGGCCGCTGTGTTTGTTTGCATCCAGATGAATGTGTGTGTGGCGGAGTTGGAGGCCCTTTGCCCTCGTGTTTAACGGGTCACGCATGTTTTTATGAAGGATAATTAACCCATTAAGGGATCTGGTGAAGGCTAATCCAACCGGGCCTGCAGACTTCAAACACAAACCGCGGTTGGGTCTAGACAGGTGAAAGCCGGGCGTTCGGTAACCCAAGTAGACCAAAAACACAATACGGACTACTCTCTTGCATGGACCTCTGCTTTAGTTCACAGTGTTTGTGCTTGACCTCCTTGTTCGCTCCGAGTGTCCATTTCCACAACAAAAGCCTAACAGGTTGTATGCGATTATACGGATACACCGCTGAGAAATGTGCAGTGAAATGTAACACTGACGGGCTGATCGGGGTGTTGGTTTCCTGTTGGACAAAAGGCCCGATTTCAGTGAAAGTCTCCGGACGAAAAGCGGCATTTTATTCAGGGAGCTAAAATTATGTTTTTTGTTGAAACTACAACAAAAAACAAAAGAGTAAAAAATGAAAATATCAAGTTGTTACCAAGATTTGAATAAATGCAGATGGTGAAACAGCATTTCACCCAACTATTTGGAGTCTTAGGACACATAAAAGTGGAGAGAAAGGTTTAAAGCTACCACTGTTTCATGCTCTGACAACCGTGCTGTCAATACGGGGAATTTGATCCTCCTCGATAAATCACAGATTTTTGTGCATCATACTTTTTGGGTGAGCGACTGACTTTTTAGGGCAGTTGATGGAAAGTCTCGAAACAAGCCAGACAAGTATAATTCTGAGAAAGCTAGGAAAAAAAGGAAAAAGGAGGCGGGAGATGTTGCCACGCCACATAGAGAGCTTAGAGGTGTTACAGTACAGTGCACATTCCCAGAGGGACACGGAGACCAGTGATTCAGTGGGGACACACATCGGCCCCGACAATAAACAAAGAGTCTCCTGAGACGGAAGCTGCTACGTTGAAAGTATTCACTGCCGCTAATGAAAGGAATCGCATAATTAAAGCAAATTGGACACAGTGATTAGTCACAGAAAATCTGGCCTTGTTTGGCACAAACACCAACAGATTATTGTATTTTAAACAAAACTAGTATTATTAAGTTTTCAGCATGTACTGGAAGCACTGAGCTGCATCTTAACATCTGAGAGTTGTTTTCTTCAGCTTAATAGTCACCTGTCGGATGAGTTTTAATTATTCGTGGCAGCCCACGCAAATCCTAAAAGCACCGGTACAGTAACCGTGGCTCCGAGGGCCCCCGAGATTGTGCCGCTTCTTGACGAGGGGCCGGGGAAAAGTTTCGCCAATGCGATCGGACCGATTTCCTGGTTTCGACAAGCACCTTTTTGGGGAGCGCAACAAACACGCCGACACGACCTCAGGCCAACAACTTCAAATGAAAGCGACTCAATCAAAAGCTTCCGCGAACGCTATCAATGGGAAGACTCTCAGACGCTGTCGAGGAGAGCCGACAAGATGGACTCCTGCACAGCGGGCCACGCTGTTGTAACAGTTATTTATTCCTCTTTTCAATTCAAGGGCCCTTCTGTTTTAAACGGGGACAGCATTAAGGGGGGAACCGGCACTAAGGTCCGTCCTTGGAGGCACGGTCCAAATTCCAGAGAATCTTGGCAACTCCTAGGGATAGATGGGACCCTCATGGATATAAAACCCCACAATGGATGAATAGGTAAACAGAAGGGTGTGAAAGAGTGATGGCGAAAAGAGAATGTTCACTCTCAGAGAGGCACAAAGAGGGAGGTGTGTGAGTGGGAGATGGGAGAGAGCCAGAGCGCTTGGGGGAGAAGAGGGGGTGAGCGAGGAGGCTCTTGGGGGGGAGAGGAGGGGGAGTTGTCAGTGAGGGAGAGTAAAAGTTTTGTCTCCAGGCTTTTAGAGGGTGCTCTGTTTGGTGTTAACTCAATCAAAAGGTGAATTATACCTCCTGAGACACTCAGGTAACCTTTCATTATGGCCCTAATCCCTCTTAATAACAGAGCTGCGATGTTGGCAATGCCCCATTAGACAGGGAACCACTGAGAGGGAGAAGCCATTATTCCCCACAGGCCTGTGGAAATGTGAACACACAACGCTCACTCACACACACTCGCAGTGACAGATGAAATCAATCACACATTGGACTTGAGAGAAGGTAAACGCGGCATACTCCTCCATGCGGAGACGGAGACACCGGAGAAGAGTAACTTAGTGTTTATGTGGGAGCAGAGTTTCTCGAAATGTGCACTTTTGCAAAAAGCAAATGAGGACAGAAACTGCCTCATTATATTAAAGGATAGACACTTTTGACCTTCAAAGTTTGTTTTTAAAACCACGCAATATAAAAAGTTTGATGCACTAAATAAATCTAATCAAACTTTTGTCCTGTTGCAATTTATCTGCAGTAAAATATTCTTATTCCAACTTTTGTTCATTAGTTTTGCACTTTCTTAACGGTCGGCACATCAGCAAAATCAGTTTTACCATTTAGATTAGAAGCTCCAGTAAGAGTTTAGCTTACTTGCATATGGAAATGGACATAAACAACAAAAACAAATTGAATTATTAATTTGTAACAAGTCCGATTGAGGTCCGATTTTAAACGGAACAAATGGGTTAAAGAAAATACATTTAAGAAAAACTTCTGAAAAGGTTATGTAGAAAGTGAAAATGTCTGTCTTATCACAGTGTTAATAATAAATAAAGTTGAATTTAAAAAGTATTAAAACTGAGCAGAAACTTGTTTAAACTTTCACAAGCAGTTATGTAAGGCATTAATGTTTCAACAGAGAAAAAGTAAATTACAATTTATTTAAATGTTAAATGCTTAATATTCGTTCTCGTCTTATCTCCAGTCTAATCAAGATAAACCGTGATTCCACTGTGGCGATGACCAAAGCCACTTGAAGGCAGTCAACCTTAAAATGTGCAACAAAACGAGCAGCCTGATAACATCTAGTGAAAGCAGGCTTAATGCGGTGTAATAAATCAACAGGCTTCATCCAGCTACACAAGTTAAATAAAGCGTTGTGGGTTGTGTAGACTAATCTTTATCAGTGATGAAGTAGGCAAAATAAGAAAAAAGTTAGATAAACACAATCTATCATTATGGCAATTTAATGACGAATAAAAATATACAGAAGTTCAGCCTAGATGATAAGAGACAGTAATTAATGTAATCTCTACAGTTACATCAGTTTGAGTGTAGGCATATTCATTAATTTCCGCTAAATATGTATTTGTTTAAAAAGTGTTTAACTTCTGAGTTTTTGCCTCCATGAATAATCAAATGATGTCAATATTCACCTGTACCACTCCAGTCCGTTGTCGTAGTTGCGGTCGAAGAAGTGCGGCTCCGCGCCCACGGCTCTGATGTCCGGGTGAACCCGGAGGAACTCCAGCAGAGCCCGGGTCCCTCCTTTCTTCACCCCGATGATGAGAGCCTGCGGCAGCTTCTTGCTCCCCTCCCCGAGCGGACTGAGTTTACCTGCGAACCTGGGCGACACTTTCCTGGAGGCAACTAAATCCGGAGGCGGCAAGATGAAAGACTCCTCGGGCGGCTCCGAAACCTGCCGCGCGCGCTCATCCGCGAGGACCCGCGAGGAGCGCCTGGCGGCCCCGTAGCCCGTCGGCTCCGACCCGGCGGTCCACTCGTACGCCAGTCGTTTAGTCCTCAGCGACCTCGAGTCCTCGAAGAGCCCCGCAGCCCGGCCGGAGGACGCCCTGACCGGCGAGGTGCTGCAGCGGTCGGCGAGGCAGTGCAGGAGGAAGAGAGAGGTGAGCAGGGAGCACAGCATGACCGCCGCTTTCCTGAAGATGCCTCGGGACGGGGGGTCCAGTTTACTGATGCGGCTAAAAGCCATACCGGTCCCTGGGTGGTCGGTGCAGGAGCCACAGCCATGCTAGGCACACATTACTCAGTCTTTTTGCCATGAAGAAACCGAGGAGTCTTCATCCACAGTGTGCTGCGGATAACACCTCTGTCTCCTCCACAAAAAAAAAAAAAGAAGATACCTGCTGCACACAGGTGAGAAAGAAAAACGCCCAAACTGACCGGAAACCAAATAACAGCACACACCGATGTATGCTCTCAGGTGTTGCACTCTCTTCTCTCCTTGCTGTGTGCAGGATGCCACCACGAGCCCTGATGTGTCCACCCGCACGTGTATAGAGTTGTAAACTTGTCTCGCATGTCAGGATGCTTGACAGGCATCTTTCTGACCAATGAGGTGAAGACAGAAGCGGACAAGGAGCCAATGATGTTCCAGGTGGGCGGGGACAATGATGCACCGAACATCTCAGGCAAATCAGAGGGGATTTTCATGCACAAAATAAAGTTGTGAAGTGCTGCATGGACACAAAGTAAAATACACACGACAATAATTATAAAGAGACATGACACAGACACGTTTGCAAACATGCAAAATGAGACAAATATACATATTTCAGTACATTTATTTTATATATCTAATCCTTTAAATCGTATTCCCCTCGAGATTAACGTCTCTTTTTTTTAAAATCTAGATATTTTCACAAGATTGAACATATACAGTATAAGCATATAAACACACTGAAATTACACACAATACAATACAACAATACGTACTTCACAGATGTAGCAGCTTGTTTCGAGATGCAAAAATGATTCCTAAAATGTTCAAAACACTCGGGGGGGGCGACCATTTCTCCAAATGCAGCTGAAGTCAGGCCACCAAAGAAGATGCCCTCCACCACGAACCCTTGTTTTTATGACACGCAGAGGAACAAAAAAAGTGAAATAATGATAACGGGGCACATTATTTCTTTACAAGTGAACAAGAACAGAACCAAATGTTTCACATCTGCTCCTGTCTTTTGGGGAATTAGCATGAGAATGTGCAAGTAGTGCTTCAATGCTGCACAGCTCACTGCTCGAGAAAGAGGATGGAGACCTCAACACTGGGCCGCATTGCCGGTGCCAGATGTCCCCCCATGTTGTCGAAACAATACAAGGGGGGTGTCCCGCATTTAACAAATCACACCCCGTGTCTTTTCTCTATCTGACACTGGAGAGATGCTCGACCACCTAAAAACCGACTGTGATGACACAGCCAGCATTCCCTCACAGAGGTCAAAATGGCTTCACACGCCTTCCTATCGGAGACAAACACTGGTAAAATAATGATGTTTAAAGATGTCACGCTCTGTTTTCATTTTCCGACAAATTAAATGCAGAAAGTTCCACCAAATGCCAGCCCGCTTTATTCATTTATTTATTTATTTAAACAGTTATGAAAGCTACAATAATAGAGTGTCCTAACCTCTGGGTCTGGACCCCCTACAGGGGTCACCAGATATATCTGATGGGTCAGACGTGATTAACGTGAAAGGTCAGAAACCAAAATACATTTCTTTCACACATAGAGTTTATTTCTTTCAGACTTCTCTGGTCATCCCTTTTTTTAAAATAGTGGATAGTTTTACCCAATGGTGGAAGAAATACTTGCATCCTTTTAATACTGCATGATACAAATATGCAGTTACCAGTAAAAGTCCTGCATTCAAAATCCCACGAATGAAATCATCAAAGTTCTGATAATGAAGAATGGACACTTTCCAATTGTTATTTTTATTATATATTTACACAACGTGATTGTTTTCTTAATGCATTATGGTACAGAAAGTGTTCAGATCCTTTCCTTTAGTAAAAGTAAAAACACTGCAATATGAAACTAAAAGTACACAGGTATTATTAACGAAATGTACTTTTAAAAAAGTACTCGTAATGCAGGAAAATAACCCCTGGGTTACTGGGTGATTATTATAATTGATGCATTAATGTGAAAGCATAATTTAAATGTTGCAATTGTTCGAGGTGGAGCTGCTTTTTACACTAATTCATATTCTGTTTCATTAGTTTAAGCAATCTTTAAGCATCATATGTGTCATATTTCATAAAATGATAATCTGCTTTAAAGGTTAAGACAATTACTACAAAGTAACTATATTTTTAAATTAAATATAGTGGAATTAAAAGTATATTTGAGTACCTTAAAAGTGTTCTTAACTACAGTACTTGAGTAAATGTATTTAGTTACTTTTGACCACTGATTGCTCCCCTTGAGGCCTCTGAAAATGATTTTGCTGAAGCATGTCTGAGACGACACATTACATTTGTGACCAGAGACCGCTGATGAAGATCATTGATTAGTCTAATAGCTCTGCTGTCACCAGCACCTCTTTGAGCAACTTACCCACTCTCAGCCGGGTTTAGAGTTTGTGCAGCGACACATACTTCCTAAGCAAAAAAAAGAAAACAGCATTTAGTGTGTAATTACATACCCAGACATTTGTGCCTTTAGAAAAATGTGCAAGCAGTCTAGAAGGCATGTAAAAACGTAATTCCGCTTTCATCTTCGCCATTTATCCAAATTGCAGCACTATGGTTACACTGACGCAGCCTTTTGGGAATATTGGATGCAGAGTTGGGGTTTTAAGTTTAAAGGGAGCACACACACAAACTGTTTATTATCCTTTTGAATATAATCGTGAGTTTGCTTTGCATATTGAATACATTCTCAGGGCACGCCATGGGAAAGCAAACACGTTGCCAAGGCGAAACCGAATATAGGGAACGGCCGAATTGTCTGCAAGTGATTGTTGTTTTCTGGAAATGTAAAAACCATACCTCGACTTGTGCATTCGTCCTCTGATGCAACATCACCAGTGAGAATAAAGTCATGCAGAAACTGTTTCCATTGCTGAGCTGGCCAAGTAGTTAGACTGCGTGTCTCAGCCATGCACATAATTTCTAGACAGGTTTATGAACTGAGGTTTGGGAGCTGTCAGTTTGGAGGAGACATCTTTACTGCCAATATAATGGCTTCACGTTTCTCGACCTGAAATCCGTGGCGATAAAATGTTTTTATTTTCGGTACAATATTCATCTTCGGCTTTTTGGACAACCAGCCTGCTAAGAATTTATGCTGGATTTTGAAATATTGTCCCAAAAAAAAAAAAAAAAAAAAAAAAAAAGGCACAATGCTCCATGTGGCAAACACGGTTAGAAACAGATGCAGCTAGTAAAAATGAGATTTACACATGGAAATTGTCCGGATATAATTTACGACATGTTCCGTGCCTGAACTAAGATCAGCGTCACAAATTTCCACGCAAGCCGGGCAGCTCCTTGGCTCCAGACGTTCATCTCCTAAAACCATCTCACTTTTAGTCAAATTGAAATGGCGTTGCCCACTTCAGAGCTCAATTAGGTGTGTTAGTAAGAACTTAAGAAAACTAAAAACATACAGTACAATACCTCCGAGATGGCTATAAAATATCTTTAAAAAAATACATTTAGATGCAACTGTTGAACAGAAAAGATAAAAACCGTTCTTGGCACACAACCTGTTAATGATATTAGAGAATACATGCACATTTGAAACACTGTCCTTGCACATATGTGTGCGTGAGCGATGACTCAATGTTTTACTGAAACAGGGTGTTGTTTTTTTTAACTGCGAGCGGAAATGTACTCGTTCTATATACACAGCTGTTGGCCATTCATTGAGGTTGGGTTCTTCTGCCTCATTGGCAGGCCGTGCGCCGTACAGGAAGGGTCTCTATTGAGCCCGGAAACCCAAATAAATGGTGCTCTTAATCAGATTAATGCTCATCTGAAGTGGGCTTCTCTAAATAGTCCCAAAAATGTCAACATACAACCAATTTGAATTAAGCACACATGCAATTACACCCCATTCATCAATGCTTTGTCTTAGAATTTGTGTTTGCTGATGTTTGAAGGAAGCAGAGGAGGAGGAGGTGGCACGAAATTATGGGTTCTGAGTCTTTTTTTAAATGGTAGGGCATTATGATTTAGTTTATATGTAGTTTATACTTGTTATAATATTTTCAAGGGTAAGTAGTTGCCTTGAAACATCGTTTTATAATATGTTTAAAAACCGATTCCATTGGCTATCATTCAAAATGATAGAAAGTTTAATTCATGGATACATTTAGGTGAATAAATTCAAGACTAAACAACCTTCTTATGCCGTATGCGCGATGCCAAAGCGTGCAGCTTGTGTGTGGCGAGTTCACATTTCGTGTCACATTCCTTCCTCCAAGAGGCAGCAGGATGCAGCTGATCGAGAGAGAGGCAGGCGGGGTGGAGAGGGAGGCGCTGTCCCACTTGGAATGTTGTGTGGATGTGTGTCCATCTCTATGGGCCAGTGATCTGGTTTAAAGACAAGCTGGTGTGGGTAGAAAAAAGGTTAATGGCTCACATGGCCGGCTGTGTTGTGTCGCAAACAGGACGGGCAATCGTCCAAATGAATCTCTAATGCACTTGGCACACAAGGAAAGTAATGTCATGGTGTATTTTAGTCACTAAAGTGTGAAACAGCCTTTAAATGCTCCACACAGAGCTACAAATCTGGATTGTTAACATGGGATGAATATTCAATATAATTACACCCCCTAACAAGTTGGTATCATTTCTCAATGACGTTGTGCGCCACTGTGTGGGTGTGGCAGTGGCCTCACAACAAAGAACCCCAACAGCTGTCATCAGATTTTGATTCAAATATTGCAAAATCCTGATTGGTGCAGAGAAGTATACAGAATACAGAAATATTTCATGTAAAAATAACAAATAAATTCTCTGAAATGTGCCCACGAAGGACCCCATCACTCAGGGTGTTGAGAGAATATGTTTTTGGGCCTTTTTTGGGGGGAATCAATTACACCAAAATGCGAAATACTCGCCTGCGAATATTATGTGTCGAGGGCATTTATTGTGAAATGGAAGAATGGAAGGACTGGATCTGGTATGTGTTGTTTTCGTCAAGGTGGAGAGGAGTAAGTGTTGCCAGATTGGGCTGGTTTCCGCCCAGTTGGGCCACTTTTCTTTATGTTTGGCGTGATAAAATAGCGTTGGGTAGGTAGATCAAATCTGGGCTGCTTTTGTCAACATTTGGCCGAGTTTTGATCAAAATCGTGAAAACAAGATTACCAAACAAGCTGCTATTTTATGTTCAAAAACACATTCTGTAAACTTCGTTGTGTCCACTCATATTCTGGACTCATTTCATTTGTGGAATATGTGATATATTTGTTCAGGATAAGAGAGGACCA